TGAAGTTGGCACAGGGGCTCCACAGCAACTCTGCTCCCAGCTGTTATTGTAGCAGTGGGTTTGGGGCCATGCTGGGGGTCTGGGCCGTCCCCAGGGGAGTGCGGGGTCCAGGGTGGAAGTGATGGATTTGTCTCTTCTGGGACCGACTGTGCCGGCCAATCGCGGGGCCCCCCAAAGCGCAGGGCCTGGAGCAGTTGCCCCAATTCGCCCTCCCCAAGGGATGGCTCTGCTGGGGGCATAGATAGGAGGCATCGCACTCTTGCTGCTCTCTGCTTTGCAGCACTGAGGCCCCTGTAACGAGGGGCCAGGGAGACTAAAGGAAGGACACAGGAGGCTTAAACCCACCTCCCTCTAACCCCCCTTGTCTTTCCCCCAAGCACAAGGATGGAATCACTGAGACTCAGACGCTGGGTCTGGGGGCCTGGCTCAGCTGAGCTGATCCTTTCACTCTGTCCCTGAACTGGCTCTGTCGGGGTGTGAATCCCCCCTGCCCATGGCTGAGATCTCAGCGCTGCTCCCCAGGCACAGCTGGGGAAATCCTGGAGGCAGGAGGTTGCCCGATTCACTCCCCAGCTGGGGCAGGTTCTGTCACTGACACGATCAGACCCTGCCCCAGGGCTGAGCTCTGCCCCTCACGCTCTGATTCTCTCTCTGCAGCCAACGTGACCCTGGATCCAGACACAGCCTATCCCTACCTCATCGTGTCTGCGGATCGCAAAAGTGTGAGAAGGGGAAACGCACGGCAGGCTGTGCCCAACAACCCTGAGAGATTTGACTGTTGGCCCTGTGTGCTGGGCTTTGAGGGATTCACCTCAGGCAGACATACCTGGGAGGTGGAGGCGGAGGTGGACGGGCGGGGAGACTGGGCTGTGGGGGTGGCCAGAGAGTCTGTGAGGAGGAAGGGATGGATCAGCTTTACCCCTGAGTGGGGGATCTGGGCTGTGCGATGCAGTGAGGATCGGTACTGGGATCTCACATCCCCTGTGCAGCGCATCCTCTTGTCCCCGAGCCGGGCACCCCGCAGGATCCGGGTTCAGCTGGACTATGAACAGGGGCAGGTGATGTTTGTCGATGCTGGTACCGGGGACGTGATCATCACTTTCCTGCCGGCCTCTTTCGCCGGGGAGAGAATCCGCCCGTTCTTCTGTGCTGTTATTGGTACTGTGCGGCTCCTCAAGCCCCCACCCCCGTGATCTCTAGGACCTGGAGGACTCAGCCAGCCCAGCCAGACAGGGCTGCAGGGGGGTGATGCTCTACCCGTAGCTCTGGCTGTGGAGGTCTGTGTGAGGCTCTAGGCTGGGTCTCTGTGCTCCTGGGAGGCCAACGCTGTGTGGAGTGGGGGGGGGGTCCCACCAAGGATGGAGGGAGCCCCCCTGTGGGAGGGACCCAGCCGAGGGCCAGGGAGAGACCCCTCTACTGGGGGGGAGCAGGGGGGAGGCCTGGCTGAAGAGGGTGGGGGGAGGGGAGAGCAGGGGGGAGGCCTGGCTGAAGGGGCTGGGGGGCGGGGGGGGACTGACCAGAGGGCAAACCAGGCGTCAGGCGGGGAGAGGTTCCCAGGAGATCAGGGGCAGGTATTGTAGATAAATCTCTGATAATTTTCATATGACTTTACATTGTGCCTCTTCATATAACCTTGTGGTGGGTCTACCCACGTGTGACCTCTGTTTTCATGGGACTTTGTATCAAAACCTCATTTAGAAACTTTGCATTGCCCTTGGTATAATATTATAGCCCCTAAAGATAAAATAAGATAGAAGAAAAATTTCTTTTTGCTAGCAGTAGAACAAGAGCTCTCCCCCCCCCCACTCTTAATCAATTGCCCTGTTGAATGAATGAGGTGTGAATGAGGAAGGCATGGAAGGCAGCACCTCCAGACAGCCTCAACTGTTGGAGAGGGGCTGGGAGCCAGACCCAAGAACAATAAAATGTGTCAAGTGGGCTCATTAAAGACAAGCAGACATACCGAAGGCCTCGGGGGTTAGAAGCAAGCACCTTCTTTTGGAAACACCCTCTTTGCAGCGTTGGGACAACACTCAAAAGAAAGCAGCACAAAGGACCAATGGACACAGACACAGAGTTTGAATCTGGTCTAGA